TGGGAAATAAATCGCATGTTTATTTTAGATCTGTGTGGCAGCAGCAATATACAGTAAATAAATCAATAAATCCACTGCTCTCTTGTCTCCTCTGAGACTGGGACTGTAAATAGTGTTCTGTGCTCGTCTGTGCAGCCAAAGGCAGAATAGTTTGCATGTTTTGCTCAAACTTTCGCCATGGCATTAGAGCTGGTACACCGTTGTCGCTTGCGAAATCAAAATAACAGCGCCGTGGGTGTAAACTTACAGATTAAGGGGCGGTAATATTATAATGAGATCCCTTTGCCACGTCACCAAGGGAGCGAAATCAGATGCGCTCGTTTTCTCAGACGCTTGCAGAAAAAGGTTTACCAAAACAAAGTTACTGGGTTAATTTTTTTCACGTTTCCTTGGTTCGTAGATGCACCGGGGACCTGATTATAGCACTTAAAACCTGGAAAAGGCAGATTTTCATGTTATGTCACCTTTAAAATAAGGGTAGTTTTTGGCTTTGGTCAGAACAGAGCAGAAGGGCTTATTGAAAAATGCAACTTCATTCTCTGCCAGCAGGTGGCGCTTTTTGCTAGGAATATAGCTGTTTCCCCCGTAACCGCAGTAAACAAAGCAGCGCAGCACCTGACTTTGAAACTTGCAGCGCTCATATTTAATCAATTAAATAGCCTTTTGAACTGTAAGCTATATCTCAATTTAGTTTTGTTTTTCAGTGGAGCACCACCTGAGTCTTCTCCTCTCATTTCTACCAGTGATCCTTGTTTCTATCCCGCGGTACTACCTGCGCACATATCAATAGCATCACTGGGCTGTAGGTTGCCAAGTTGAGGGGACAAATGGGTTGAAATTTCTATACGTCGATCGTGTGAGAAAGATGCTTTTCATACAAGATCTGGCAACTGGACAACCTTGGAATTTGTCAAGTCAAGTCACCTTTATTTATATAGCGCTTTTAACAATACAGATTGTGTCAAAGCAACTGAACAGCATTAATTAGGAAAATATTAATAATGTATATAATGCAAAATGATAATAGTAAACACTCAATTTTCAGTTAAAGGCAGTTCATCATTGAATTCAGTGATGTCATCATCCAGCTCAGATCAGTTCATTTGTTGTCGTGATTATTCATATGAGGTTTGGCCCATACAAATTACAGGAGTTTTACCGGAAGCGAATGTAGCAAACATATAAAATACGCCCAGTGGGATTTTTTTTTTTAAGTAGAAAGATTAAAAATATGGGAAAATATTTAAACGGGATGATAGCGGGATAGAATGGTAAAATACGGGAGAATCCCGGGAAAAACGGGAGGGTTGACAGGTATGAAGATAAATATTCATATTTCAAACATAATAAACACTTTTTTCTCACTTCCGTTGACTGTGGTACACGGAATCTGTTCCGGCGGATGACGTAAGACGTTGACGTTGTGTGATTTGTGACGAACGCAGAGACAAAACAAAATGCCGTTCATGAATTGGAAGTACAAAACGAGGATTTGTAAAGAAAAATGTTGGATCCTTTGCTCCTGCATATCTCAGAGGCGCGCGCTGCACATACATCTTACGTTATACGCCTGCACGTCTTCCGCGTACCACAGTCAGCGGAAGTGAGAAAAAAGTGTTTATTACGTTTGAAATGTGGATATTTATCTTACAAAAATGCATGGATTCGCTACAGGAGGCCTTTATTCACCCCCCGGAGCCGTGTGAGGGACATTTTATTATGGCTGCGCGCACTTTATTTAAAGTCTTCTGAGATATATATATATATACACATTTTTATTTATTTAGCCCCTGAAACTGGCTCATTCCATTAATAGGGTACACTGCTAGAAGTGTTCAAATGTATAAAATTTTTTAACATCATGATATTCAATTAATTTTAAAAAGAAAATGTTAGAACAGCATGGTGAGAGGGCAGTAGTTTAATATTACACACATATTTATGACTTAATTTTGAATTTAACAAAATTGCAACCCTCTCACCTCTTTTGTGTGATATGTTAATATATATTAGATATACAGTATATCATGTAACCCATTCATGGAAAGCACCTTCTTCACAGGTTAAAAGACTGCAGTGTAATGCTAAAATCTCACATATAAAAAGTCATGAGATGGGTGTTTTGAGTTTGTGTTGAATATACTGGGAATTTACCGTGGGGGAAAAATTCCACCATGACTAGAAAGCATTGCTGTCAACATCTGCTTAAAGTGAATATCCTAAAAGTTTGCCAGCATCATATAAGCAAGCGTAAATAATATCATAATCTATAACCATCACTTAAATGACTGAAACATCAACTAGATGTTGATTGTGCTCAAGCTGATGCGTTTCTGAACTATAATAGTAATCCAGATAAAGTATTGTCCAGGTAACTCTGAGCTGACAGTTTTCAAGTAAGATTCCAAATTTATGACAAGATCACATTTATTTCTTCAACATCAAACTTAATTCAAACAGGCAACCTGGCCATTCATATGACTTTATGGAGGGAAGAAAGGTCAATAACAGTAGCAGTTTTTAGATCAGACACAACTGAGCAATAAAATCATTGCCAAAGCAGCAAAGTCAGTGCTCTGTTCTACCTTTGACTCCATGACGAGGCCTCGGGTGCAACAGGGGTTTATTCCGATCCATATCCACCAAGAAAACAACAGCCGGGCAGAGGGAAAGCTCCATCAATAAACAAAGCTATGAGAGGAAAGCATGGACTTGCTTGCTGCTTTCAACAGTTTCAAACGCAAATGTCCAAATCCAGGTAGCTCCAGCTTTCACAGCGGGGCTTTAGAAATTAAGCCACATGAGGCCCTATTAGCATTATCATTAGCAAAACCATACCTAGGATCAGTGTTGCTTAGCGTGATGATTTTAAAAGAGTCCAGGGAGATTTTTTGGGGAGGAGAAAGATAGAAAAACATGTCCATTGTCATGTGTACCGTGTTCACTTCAGACATTGTGAGCATCACCTTTTCAAATCTGCTGGCTCTTTGGTGAGGGCGGGGCATATGGTGGCTGTGACTGTGGGCGGAGCTGCTGCGGTGGTTGCCGGGGCGATGACGGCAGCCGCTCGTTCTTTGGCCAGTGTAGTCTGAAGCTCCGCCCTACGAGCTAGAGCGGCTTTCAAATGCCCGCGGAATTCCTCGATCTTGGCCTGGAGCTCCTCCAGCTCGCTGTCTCTGGAGGGGCTTGAGGATCTCACTGAGGAAGAGGCGGGCCCCTGAACGGGCCCTCCGTTTTCACACACTCTCGCCAGTAAAGTCCCAGCTTCGGAGCTCAATGCGGAGGTGGCGCTGGACTGACCCCCCTCGGACATGACGCGGGGCAAGAGACGGCGCGTGTTGAGGGTCTCCAAGTTGAAATGGACCCTCTTGTTGTCTTTGGGCTCCTGCGCCGCATTGGCGTTCTCGTTGTTCCATCTGGCGAAGGATCCGAGGGGAGCAGGTGGAGGTGGCGGATGCGGCTGGGCTTTCTGGATGTTACAACTAGGAAGACAGAGCCAAGACAAGTGATTTTGTTAAAGGGATAGATCACCCAAAAATGAAAATCCTGTCATTATTATTATAGAGTTTTTTCGTACAATATCCTTTTCTGTGTAATGAAGTGGATGGGGACTGGGGCTCTCAAGTTCCAAAATGGCAAAAACGCCATAAAAGAAGTCATCCATATGACTTGAGTGCTATATTTGAACTTTTCTGAAGCTTTTCGAGTCACATAGACTATTTTTATGGTACTTTAATGGTGCTTTTGAAGCTTGACAGCTCCAGTCCCCATCCACTTTTATTATAGTGAAAAGAGGAGCCTAAATATTAATCAAAAAGTCACAATGTCTTCCATAGAAGAAAGAAAGTCAAGGAAATATGGAATAGCATGAGGGAAAGAAAAGCTTCAGTTAAATTACAAAAATGACTAAAGCTAAACAGAAATATATAAAAATAAAATAAAAAAGCACATCAATTACTCAAACTAAACAATGTTAACGAAAATGGAGTATATATTCAAAATATTAATAAATCACCCAATATAAATAATATTAATTATATTTGGGTGAACTATCCCTTTAAATAAGCTATACTCAGGGCCGTCCTTAGCTGACGCAGGGCCCGGTGCGAGGTAGGGGGCCCCTTCGGTCCGTTTGCGACTGTGTTCCAGGGAGGGGGGTCCCCCTCAAGCGCGGGGCCCAGTTGCACCCCCCTAAGGACGGCCCTGGCTACACTACATCTTCAGCTTGCTGTAATAACAAAAGCAGCAGCATCATTAATTATTAAAACTAATTTTCATTAATTGAAATAAAGCTGAAATCAAATCAAATATAAATATTAGATGAAAAACATAACATTTAAAAAAAAAAAGTAGAAATGTTGCCTTGAAAATGATTGATTTAAAACAGGTTTCAGTTAAATGACTAAAACTGAAATAAAAATAAAGCTAAATAGAATTTTTAAAAAACTAATATAAAATGACTGTGTTCCAGGGAGGGGGGTCCCCCTCAAGCGCGGGGCCCAGTTGCACCCCCCTAAGGACGGCCCTGGCTACACTACATCTTCAGCTTGCTGTAATAACAAAAGCAGCAGCATCATTAATTATTAAAACTAATTTTCATTAATTGAAATAAAGCTGAAATCAAATCAAATATAAATATTAGATGAAAAACATAACATTTTTTAAAAAAAGTAGAAATGTTGCCTTGAAAATGATTGATTTAAAACAGGTTTCAGTTAAATGACTAAAACTGAAATAAAAATAAAGCTAAATAGAATTAAAAAAAACTAATATAAAATGATTAAAGCACATAAAATTATGCAAACTTCAAATAAAATTAAAATGAAAACTTAAAATATAAAAATAATTCATTTATTTTGGGGGTGAACTATAACTATTAAAAGAGCTCCACTATCATAACAAGATCCTCTTCTTGCTATAATAACATCAGCATTCTGAGAAAAAACAATGAAGCATCATTAAAACCCAAGTGCATTTTTGACATTCAAAATGAAGTAAGCTGCTGTTAAAATGAAAAAAAGATTAATAAAACAGACAAAACCTTTTCTCTGTGTTCGCCCGCTGCCGTTTCACATCCTCATAAGTCATGTTCAGTGCTCTGTGGATTTTCTGCAAAAAAAGAAAAGAAAAGAAAAAAGGATTTATCTCATCAAGGGATGAATGAGAGAGATCAACATCATGCTTTTGATTTTAAAAATCAATATTCCAGAGATGGCAATTACTGACTGGGCTTGGCAGTAATCTCTCCACAAGCCCTCAGAGAAAGAGTCGGAGAGATCAAGCACAGCTCACATACAGAGTCAAAGCTTCGCCCCATGAATAACAGAACTGTGCCTTTCTTAATCTTTCATTCTGATAGAATAATAAACTTGGCGACAGCTGAAATTTTGGGGGTGGAAAAACTGCTCAGACAATAGAAAAAATAATGAACATTTAAACAGATTGTTTGGTCAACTGTTAATATTTGATCTACCCTCGTATCGTTTGAAACATGTTGGGTTCAGTGTTACTTTTGTTTTTTTTTCTTCACTTAATATATTATTTATATGATTTTTAGTATTCTTCAAAAAATGTTGGTAGATTTTATATTTAAAAACAACAATACTCTTTATTTATATTTTATTGATTAACCTCGAAGTACATCAGCTGGATTACTGAAAATTTAATAAAGACTAGGTTAAGTCCTGATTGTACCTTTGAACTTATTACCCTGAGATGTAATCATTGTCAAATAATTATTCAAACAAATAATTATTTATTAAACCAAATGTACAAATTTAACTGATATATTATTTTATTATTTAATTAAAATAAGTTTCGGATGAATTACAAAAATGACTAAAACTGAAATAGGCCTGTATCTCGGCGAAGAAACTTCTCAACTGCTGCGCAACTCTTTTTCCGGTACCTTGTGTTCTCAAAACCATTGAGAGAGCAGGTGAAGCCAGGTGTCTTACACAGGTCACTGTGTATTTTACGGATCCACAAGCATGAATCCAATCCTGTAAATCGTTGTAAGGCTGCTGCGTACTGCCAAGTGGCATTCTGGGAAATAACACATCCTATTAGCTCTGTCTCAGGCATGTTCACTTGTCGGATCGATTCAAAACCGAGTGTATCTTGCGTAGGTTTTAACCAGCTCACAATGCTTCGTCCTCATGGTCACGTCCTTCTGTGAGGCTCTGATGCCACAAGAGCGCCGAGATTTAAAATGGAAATGAGGAATAATCTTTTCTGCTCAGGCAATGGTAATTTCCCCCCCGAAATTAAGAGATGGAAAAAACACACCCTGCTGCAAGCTTAAAGTGTTCGGAAGCACTGAGAAATCTGTGCCGTAGGAGAGAGGGATAGTTCGGCCGTTCTGGATGTCAGCTGATCAGCACGCTCCAAAAGTGTCATTTACTCTGGAATCTTCTAAGGTTTCGAGCAGATCTAACGCACACCTCTGTCAGCACCGGAGATAATGACATGAGATAAGTTAGTGAAGGTACCCGAGCCAAATCAATGTGTAATTTGCATTAAAAATGACATAACTGAGCGAATGACACTTAATGACAGTTGTCATAAACATGCATAAAAACCCTTCATATCCATGACATGTGTCATGTCATGATTATGTAGGTGTCATGTCATGATTATGAAGTTGTCATGTCAGTCTTATGCACACCCCTTCAAGTAAAGTGTAACCTAAAAATGCACTTAAAAATGTAATACAATTTTAAAATAAAATAATCAAATGTGTATATATTGGATGATAGACAATTTTAGAAGTAGAATAGCATATATACTACCCAAAATGATGGTAAGATTTTTTAAAATGTTTTTGAAAGACAAGTCAACTAAATTTTTAGTCCATTTCCTAATAAGATTTTAAATATATATATATATATATATATATATATATATATTTTAGATTTGACTAAAAAAAGTGTTTAAAAAATTGCATACATACAGTACAATGACAGTGCACCTCTGCAATGATGAACATGTTTTACATTTCTGCTTAATTCGACTGAACATGAATATTAAATTTAAATTAAAACAGCGAGTAATTAATTAAAGAAAAATGTAATTTAGTAGTACATGACAGGCTGGAGATTTGGAGGTTTAATTGATTGGCACAAAGATTTTATGTTGGCGCTTTAAGAAGGACCCCGTGAAATTAGGGTGACAACCTGCTTATTGCTCTGTTGCAGATGTAATTTTGCGGGACATGTGTGAAAGAGATACATTTAGTGCTATTATACTATGTAAATATTGATTTACATTAGTTGGAAAGCCTATCTGCCATTACATTGGATGATAGCATTTTAAATCATCTATAAGTTATGTAAATGGTGCCCGTTTCTGTGATTTTGGTTTGAGTGATACTATGTAATTTACTCTACAGGAGCTAATCAGTTTGCTAAGTAACAGATGAACTAAGTAACAGGCTAGTAGGTAAAAATCATCTTGGGTAGCAACTAGTTTATTTTCTTTTATTAGAATATGCAAACAATAAATGCCTTTACTGGGTTCAGTATATCTTGAACTTGTACTTTTTGATGGATCTGGCAGGTTTAATCAGGATGTTCTTATCCAGCATGTGTGATGAATGATTTTCTACTTGCTAGGTGGAATTAGTGGGAGGGACATTCTCATTCTAGAGAGCATCTGATTGGATAGAATTTAGACACGCCCATGAGTGCAAGATGATGTCATCTAAATTTTTAGTCCATTTCCTAATAAGATTTTAAATATATATATATATATATATATATATATATATATTTTAGATTTGACTAAAAAAAGTGTTTAAAAAATTGCATACATACAGTACAATGACAGTGCACCTCTGCAATGATGAACATGTTTTACATTTCTGCTTAATTCGACTGAACATGAATATTAAATTTACATTTCTTTCTTTATTTGATAATTAGCTGTCTAATAAGTGGGATAATGTAGTTATAAAATAAATATTTTTCTTAAAATGATGCATTATTTATTTGCTGTATCACTTAATAATCTTCATTTCCCAACAAAATATATTTGTTTTTTTTCTCTTCTTCTTTAATGTAAACTCTGTGATTGTCTCAATGGAAGTGTCTTGCATTGTTGGTTGTTCCCTGTCTTATGTACATTAAGCAATTAAAAATAAAAATAAAATAAAAACGCGAATCACCATTCTTAAAGGGCCAGTTCAGCCAAAAAAGAAAATACTCTCTATTTACTCAACCCTCATGCTGTTAATAGTGCAATATTGTAACAGAGGCTTGTATTGTATATCTATTGCATTGTATGCCACTATATATGTTCATGTTTAATATTTCCTGCATGAAGAAATATATTTTGTGTTCAGTCAGTTACCTGTTGTCAGTATACACACTCATTTTAATTATATCTTTTTTATCTCTGATCCTGCCCGAAAAAACCATAAACATTACAGATATCATCTGAAGTAACAATTAATTTACATACATATGTAGTAAAAACTAATCCGGTGATTTTAGGTCGAGGTTTTGGCTGTTTGGCTCAATGATGCCCTCTGTTGGTAGGGAGTAGTATTGTGGCCGCTCGAACTCTTCCGGTAACTAAAATATTACAACTATTTGTTAACAGAACTATTTCTTTAAAGTGTGTGAGAGAATGGACATGTGACTTCAGAAACGTCGATTTAAAAAAATGGACGTAGATGTAGTGACAAGAGGGGTGTGTCACTCTGGGCCATCTCATAGGTGAGTTATGATGTGGGCGGGGCTTAAGAGTCCTATCATTCATATATCATTTCATAGACGTGTTCCCAGACAGGCATGAATCTTATTCAATCAGCACACACGTGGGAGACCAACTGATGCAGGAAATTGGACGACAGGCATATGATAATTAACACGGGCAGGAGTCCTGCACAAGCCCAGAGCAGTCTGATTTCGCCGAACCTCAATTACTGTTTTAGCCCAGATTGCCAGTGGAGGGTCAGGCCTGGAAATGGAGAAATTATAGCTAGGACAAAATATAGGGAAGATCAACTATAAGGTGCAAATATAATACTTGGTCCAATCGGTGGGCTGTTTTTCCCTCCAGCTCTCTGCAGAAAATCTGTCACTCACTCACTAGCCCCACTGGCCCCTAAGTGGCTGACAGATCACAGATATTCAAATGCTGACATCTACGCATTTCATCACTGCCGAGCTGCAACATGTACACTACACACACAAACACTAATACAACTGTAGCTCTGCATTTCAGCCTAAAACGCAGTCTTATATATTAAGCACTCATTAACAAACCATGTGCTGAAATAGCACTGCATTGTGTAATTAAATCTTATAGACTGAGCCTTTTTCACAATAGTCAGAGCTATATGTCTGTTGCAATTAACCTCTTGTGAAAAAGAAGTGCACTGTGTTGCATTGAATGTGTACGTGCAAGTGTGCTCAAAATATTAAATATAAAAAATTGTACTGGCCGATAATATAAGATTAATGAAATAAAAGGCCACCTAAGTGTGTTTAAAGAGAGTAAACTTTTATTTCTTAACTCACTTACTGTGATTACATTTTTAAAAAGTGCACTTTTAAATGTTAAATTGAAAGTTTTAAGATTTAAAAGTTCATTTTAAATCATTATGTATGACTAACATAAAAGCACATGTGCTTGTACAAGCACTTAATTATAATTTTAACTGTAGTGTGTTATTATTCGATATTACGTTTAAAGTTAATATATTTTAAATGTACTAAATTACAACGTCATCATTATAAACTTACACATGACAAATAAGTCAAATATTTTTCAGTTTTTCATAAATGCTTGTCAGTGCATTCGGCAATACACTTTTATCATATATTAGTAACAGTGATCATGAAATTATACATAAAGAACTACTCAAGTCATACTTATATGGGGCAAAAGCAAAAGTTCAGCTAACAGCATTTAACATAACTTTAAATTATAATACATTTTCATGTAATTGCAATTAACATCCAATTAATAAGTGTCCAAAAACATTACATTCCGTTCACACTTTTATTCTTTTCAAGTATATTATTTCCATAATAAACACTTTTTTTTAAAAGTATACTGAAGTGTACTTCTTTTTCACAAGGGACATTAGTTAGTTAATTTTACAGATTTGTATTTGTCTACATTTAATATTGATGAGAGTAATTAAACAAACAATGGAGAAGACCAATATAACCACTTAGGTTTGGTGCGCAGTATACTAGTTTATTTCATAAATACCCCATTATAATTTTTTTAAAAGATTAATTTATCATTATTTAAAAGTGAAATAATGAGGTTTATTGCTTAGAACACAGCAATAATAATTATAGTAATAATAACAATAATATACTATCTAAAAGAAGTAAAACAGCAAAAAAAATAACTGCAATATGTTAAAATATCTTCAGTGCCTCTCTGCAGTCATAAATGCTGAGCAATTTCGTGAGTGTGACAAATAATTTTGCAGCATTTAAGGGCAGAACTGAAGGGCAAGACCTGTCTGTTAAATTACAGCTAATGCATGAGGCCATGCTTATTAATCCATTAAAAAACAGACATAACAGACACAGAGGTATAATACGTGCTGAGGGGGAATGAACAGACATGAGACATGAGACAACAGGCATATGGTAATTAACACGACACGAGCGGGGCATGAGCTCAATTAGCCCTGCCGCCCCGCTCAGGGTTTGGCCTGGGAAATGAAAACATTCCAGACTGGACCACAATTATTTTCCCCAGCGCTCTCTCTTTCCTCAAGCACAGCTTTCAGTGCCGCCTTCAGGAAAGATCTGTGCTTCCTGTAGGCAGCTCAGGAAAACAGCCCAGGTTTGCATTTAAATTGGCTTCCCCACAAAAAAGCATGACAGCAGGAGAGATCTCTGCCAAGTTGACTTCTTACTTTTTCTCCCCTTGTCAGTTGTGGATTTGTTAATACATTCTAAAAAATGCAAATGTGAAGTTTGAATACTTCTAGCCCTAATGACAGTCATTTTGGTCAGTGAATAACATAACACAGCAGTCTTCTCCACATCCAGGGAAGAATCATACAGTATTCTGACTGATCTTCCTCTAGCTTTTACATATATTTGATCAAATAAAAATTGTTTCATATAAAAATCATGTAATGCATGTAGCGCATTACATTTGCTATTCATTATAAAAATATTTGCAGGTATATTTGTCTTCTGTGATTCATTTCGCAACAGAGGTGCCACCAAGATAAAGTGAGTAGCATTTAAGTTTCTGTATGCCAGTGAATTTTCTATTTAAGAAAGTTGTCTTAAAGGGGTCATAGGAGGCCCATTTTCCACAAGTTGATATGATTCTTTAGGGTCTTAATGAAAAGTCTGTAACATAGTTTGGTTCAAATTTCTCAGTAGTAGTGTAAAAAAAACAAATTTTTACCCTGTCAAAAACAGCTCTTTTCAGATCAAGCCGTTTTAATAGCATTTCCCTTTAAATGTTAATGAGCTCTGCTGACCCCGCCCCTCTCTTCCGAGTTGTTCCGAGCCATTTACTTTAGCTGCATTCATTGTGAAACTTGCTAATTAGCACATTATTAGGAAAGGCGATTTGCAAAGATTCATTACAAAACATTATACTCACTTCTTCTGTAGATGAGGCTGGATCATGAATGATTCACGCGAACATAGACGCGTATACAGTTTTATGGCTGGTAAAACATATGTAAGGATGGTAAATTTGTCGAGTCGCCAGCCACTGGCAGGTGTTGCGAAATGTTAACTTTAGGCCCTGGTTGTATCGTTATTTCGACCATGTGTGTTTCAGCTCTTATCCTCCATTGCAACCTGTATGTCTGGTCATGTGATCTCAACATAGCTGCCATTTCCATACAATGAAAGTCAGTTGGGTCCAAAACAACATGAGGGTGAGTAAACGATGACAGTATGTTCAATTTTGGGTGAACTATCCCTTCAGTGTTAAATAAAGCATAAACTACATAATCTGTCCAATTAAACTGTTCGAACTCAATTTGTACATTCTGCTTACCTTCAATAGCAAAAGGTTTTCCAACTGTCAGCAGCTTGCAGTCGGCATCAATGGACACCTCGTAGTCCAGCAGGGCTTTGTCCATGATAAAAGCATCAAGTTGAGGCGGATCTGTCCTTCACAACATAAAAAGAGGGGGGCTACAAAACTACACACAGGCAGGCACACACACACACACTCTCTCTCATTAAACATGCACAGTATGATTTTCATAAGTCAGACTGTGCATCTCATTCTGGTGCAAATGGAACACAGACATCATTTGTCTGAGCTAAATGTTCATAAACTGCAGCGGCGGCCATAAATCAGCAGTTACGCTAAACTAGATGCAAGCTGAATAGAGCCCAAAAAGGACTTTTAATGGATAGTGACAACTTAAGGGCAGCAGCCCACCCTTACTTAATTTAATGATAATAAAAGACGTCATTTATTAAAAAGTTCAGCCAGCGGCAAATTCGAAGTTAAACAAACTCAGCAGCACAACTTGTGGTTGATAAGAATAGCTCTTTTCCGTGTCAGTACAAATCAAAATGATCATTGCCAAATGAAAGCTATTAACATTTTTACCACCAGTAGTTTATTTTAACATAAAATAAAAAAACTTTTAAATCTGGAGTACAAATATGACTGCATAGAAACATCAACAAAAGGCAAGAGTGGCATAAAACTGTGGCATAAATTAAAAAAACTAAATGTTTCAGAAATGAATTGCTTTGCTGCTGCTTTGCGATACATGTGGACACTGATACCTCTGATCCTCTTCTCAAAATTAAAAAAAGGATTAAAGTGTTTTCCGCCAATTCAAATACTTCATGGATCTTTGACTCTTTTGAAGACGTTTGTCTCTTTTAAGTTCTCTTCCAATTACATTCTGAATGATACATCCAAAAAATTAAATGAAGCAACTTCTATGCCATGATTTCAGGCTTAATTCTGCCATCTGTCATACAGACTCAAAACTTTACTAAGGAATTATTGAAGGAAGTGAGACGCGGCGACTCTCGAAATGTTAATACTTTCTGCTCTCCTTCTAAATTCATCTCTGGTGTGAGTGCAAACTAGATTAGAAGTCTTGAGTCCAGCCAAAAAAAAAAATCCAGTTATGTGGTTTACTTTCATTGAAAAGAAACTTGTTAATTAGGCTTTAGATAAAAATCACATAGGATTTTTTAATTCTCCTCCTCATCCTTTTTTTCTGTCCCAGCTCTCCTCTCACTTTTTTTTGATAAAGCCCAAAAATAAAACAATATTTAAATAAATAAACAAAAACACACTCTTCACAATTTGGTATGTGTGTGACAGACTGTGGCACTGCAGCTGGCAGGAAACAACAAACGGCTCGCCTGGCGAGCAGCAGTGAGAGGGAATCTCAGAACTTAGACTCAAATACGCTGTGAGAAAAACTGCTTCAGGCAAACACCTCATTTTAATGACAGCGTTATTCAAAAATTGAATTCATTTGGCCGAGATATTGACACCTGCAGTATTGTACACCAGTGAGTCACTAAGGGGGACTGGTAGAGAAAAGATTCAGCATACGCATTTGCATTGTAATGAACAGAGTGCAACTGCTGTTTGAATTATTGATCACTATGCACAAGGTTTTTTTTCCATGTGTAGTAAATTTCACTTTTTGTTAATAGGGTTTGGCAGTATAACTACACCAGGAGCACTTACTCCCATCTGCTAGCCGAATGCATTCTGTTGGATGAATTGATCTCTTACTTGAGAGTGGCGACACCATCAGGTGTGGTGGGTTCGTTGAATTTTCGCATGTACTCGTGCATCTCAGGAAAACTCTTTTTCATGTAATCCTCCGCACTGCTTTCCCGAACAGTGCCGAATCGGAATCCCTGAGATGGGTGGTGGAGCTGAGGCCAAAGGTGGGGATAAAACATCAAAAGTCTTAGGAGTCAAAGTGTGATAAATAAATAATAAATCATGATACATTTTCCATTATTAACATAATAAAGGCAGTTTTATCCACAGTGCATTCAAAGTATCAGTTCATGCATTCTATGGGAATGTCACACTGTGATGCATTGCTAGTGCCACGCTCTACTGCTTGAGCTATGTGCTCTTTGAACTTTGATATATAACAGTTGTATGTACAACGTAAATTGAGTATGTTTCAGAGCCCAAAATTAAATTCCCAGTCCAAAAAGACCATTTACTGACTACCCATGCCAACACCCATTTCATATTTATAAACGTGGCACGGAAGTTCTATAAGACTTAGTAATGATTACACAGGAGTTTTTAAGGTAGAAGAAGGTAGACTGCTTTAAATGTAGACAAAACAGTACAGAAGCAACGTTGTTTTCTATAGGTTATTACTACAGTATATTCTATAATTTAGGGTACATTTTTATATCCATTGATGATAATTGTTTTTTTTTTCTAACAAATTTCTTCTGAAATATCAGATTTTATCCATTAAGAGAATAGCCGACACACCATAATCACACACATATCTTGTTTTTCACTTTGCATGAAATTGCCTTTATATCCCTTAAATTACAGTTTTAACAAGTCTTGAGTTCAAAATAATGAATAAAAAATGTTCAAAAATCAATCCAAAAATCAGTTGACTTTAAATATAATGTTCATTCAATATAAGAAAACATTTCATTTGACTCATATCCACAAAAATGGTCATCTATGTTACCAACCAAACACATTGTTATGGTTTGGTATATTTGTATGATTTTAATTCAAATAAATGTTACAATTTGAGGTTAGCCTGGTCAAGAAAATAATATTTGGTTGGCCAGACAAGGCCAGTGCCATTGATTGAGTCAAAATGGTGAAATTGTCAACTATTTTACCTGTCAATCTATACCGTTTGTCCGTAACATAGTTAACAAACTTGTCTTCAGGGAAAACATCTTTTTCCATGTAATATCAAAATGGTGTTTAACGATTAAGCTTAGCGACTAGCAGAATAGCTTCACTGACAAAATCCATAAATCGAAACCAATAGTTGTTTTATTGAGAAAACTTTTTTCCTGATGTGAAATGTACCTTAAATTAAAGCGAAGCATCTTAAAAGATCTCACCTTGGCATCATGTATTCCAGAGACCTCTTCAAAGGTCTTTTCCCCAACCATAACTGCAGCCAGGTTTGCAGTGTAACTAGACAAAACCAGCAAGCAAAATATGGCCCACAGGTTCATCAGGAAACGTCCAGTCCAACACTTGGGCGTCTTACTGGAGACTGTGCGGCCGAAGAGGATGGCGTAGCAAAGGTTGAGGGCTGAGGAGTAGGAGAAGACCTTCACGCGGTTTCGCCCATGAGGCGTCATGCCGAAGGGACTCTTCCATTCATAGAGGGTAAGGAAGAACGCCGTAATATGCAGTGCCACAAAGATGCCCATCCACATGGACCAGTGCAACGGCCACATGAACGCTCCAATGGGTGCCGCCGTGTCCTTACTGCGCACTAGTATTCCCAAACTCGTGGAAAAGAACGGACTGGTGAAGTCGATCATTTTACTGCGAGCTGAGTTGATGCTGAAGCTGGTAACAGCCATATCAGCCACCCCGCTCAGCAGGTCGCCCACCAACCCTGTCCACTGGCCACCCTTGACTGCTCCATATTTCCCGTCCCCAACTATGTACAGGTCATACTCAAAGTTCATGTCCTCTGCCAGCTTCTCCAGCAGATCAATACAGTATCCATAGCAGCACTTGCTGAAATCCGGTGGCAAAAAGCTGCTGTTGCCTTGAGCCCGTTCGGTGAACAAGTGGTCCAGGGTTTCCGAGTTATTTGTCCCTGCATCCAGACAGTATTGCCCAGCGGGACAGTTCCCATCCTCATCTACCTCTCGAGTGAAGACAAACGGGTGCTCCACTAGAGTGACTACCCGCAGACGACTCCCCGACACAGGAAAGCCGGCCCGCCATCTACGACCCACCCTGCCCATCTGGCCCTCGGTGTGCTGCCGAGGGGGCGATCCCTGCCATAATCCCTGCTCCTCTACATCCAACCTACCACCTTCCCAGCTGCCTACAGTCACCCACGTGGGCTGACCGACGGCATCACGGCGTAGACTCCAAATGTGGACCCTCTGAGAGGTGAGTACACGGGAGAGGTTGCGCTGAACGCTGACAGGGCCCGTCAACCCTACAAAGGACGTATTAGAGAGGAACCTGAGGGTGAAAGAATACAAGAGTCAGATGATGATTGGAAGAGGCCTAGATGGTCTATAACACCTGGAGAAAGCTATGCATTAGCATTCCTATTCATGCCAAATTGCTCAGCTGGAGCAGAACCTTCCAGAAGAATGAAACCACCTTTGCTAATGGGTGCCAGAATTGACCCTTCACAAAGAAATTTGTCAACCGGTAGAGATTTTGGACTACTGTCTCTATCGCGGTTACATGCTCACGTGATGCAGATGTGCTACGTGGTCACGAAAACTTATTGTTTGCATACGTTTTTAAGCATTGCGGTTTAAAAACAAGTGATATTAAGCCATTAAAATGCAGCAAAAGATAACTAATTTCGCTATATGCACGCGCTGTCTGAGGCCATGTCCACACGTGCATGGGTATTTTTATAAACTGAGTTTTTCCTTCTTCCGTTTTAAAAAAAATCTCTGTCCACATGAAAACGCAAACGCATGCTATGAAGCACTGTCAAGAGCATACCAAGCCAACAGGTGGCGATATAATCCCAACCGTAAAGCCATGTTGGCCAATCAGAAGCCTGAAAAAGTTTCCAGTAGGCAGAGATAACAGCGCATGCTCCGACATCACAAGCCAAAAATTCCGGTTTCGCTGTCTATATGATAACACTGCAACCAGAGTTTTTGAAAATCTTCACCCTGGCAGGAGTTTTCAAAAATATTCGGTTTCAGTGACCTGGTGCTGCATTTGCATGTGATGTCCTCTGCCAGCTTCTCCAGCAGATCAATACAGTATCCATAGCAGCACTTGCTGAAATCCGGTGGCAAAAAGCTGCTGTTGCCTTGAGCCCGTTCGGTGAACAAGTGGTCCAGGGTTTCCGAGTTATTTGTCCCTGCATCCAGACAGTATTGCCCAGCGGGACAGTTCCCATCCTCATCTACCTCTCGAGTGAAGACAAACGGGTGCTCCACTAGAGTGACTACCCGCAGACGACTCCCCGACACAGGAAAGCCGGCCCGCCATCTACGACCCACCCTGCCCATCTGGCCCTCGGTGTGCTGCCGAGGGGGCGATCCCTGCCATAATCCCTGCTCCTCTACATCCAACCTACCACCTTCCCAGCTGCCTACAGTCACCCACGTGGGCTGACCGACGGCATCACGGCGTAGACTCCAAATGTGGACCCTCTGAGAGGTGAGTACACGGGAGAGGTTGCGCTGAACGCTGACAGGGCCCGTCAACCCTACAAAGGACGTATTAGAGAGGAACCTGAGGGTGAAAGAATACAAGAGTCAGATGATGATTGGAAGAGGCCTAGATGGTCTATAACACCTGGAGAAAGCTATGCATTAGCATTCCTATTCATGCCAAATTGCTCAGCTGGAGCAGAACCTTCCAGAAGAATGAAACCACCTTTGCTAATGGGTGCCAGAATTGACCCTTCACAAAGAAATTTGTCAACCGGTAGAGATTTTGGACTACTGTCTCTATCGCGGTTACATGCTCACGTGATGCAGATGTGCTACGTGGTCACGAAAACTTATTGTTTGCATACGTTTTTAAGCATTGCGGTTTAAAAACAAGTGATATTAAGCCATTAAAATGCAGCAAAAGATAACTAATTTCGCTATATGCACGCGCTGTCTGAGGCCATGTCCACACGTGCATGGGTATTTTTATAAACTGAGTTTTTCCTTCTTCCGTTTTAAAAAAAATCTCTGTCCACATGAAAACGCAAACGCATGCTATGAAGCACTGTCAAGAGCATACCAAGCCAACAGGTGGCGATATAATCCCAACCGTAAAGCCATGTTGGCCAATCAGAAGCCTGAAAAAGTTTCCAGTAGGCAGAGATAACAGCGCATGCTCCGACATCACAAGCCAAAAATTCCGGTTTCGCTGTCTATATGATAACACTGCAACCAGAGTTTTTGAAAATCTTCACCCTGGCAGGAGTTTTCAAAAATATTCGGTTTCAGTGACCTGGTGCTGCATTTGCATGTGGACGAACGGCCAAACCGCATAGAAAAAGCTGCGGTTTTGAAAATAACCGCATTCGTGTGGACAGGGCCTGAGAGACAGCCACTATATGCACGAGCTGTCAGAGAGGCGTTTTGTAAGACGGTGCTTACAAATCGTGAGAGCATTGAACCAAGTTAATTTTGGCGCTTTCCAGGCCTTGAATGGCTAAACACACACACTTGTTTGTGTCAAAATGTCTGTCATTGCAAGTATCCTTGTAAACACAGTAATTTAGGTCTTAAGTGAAAGCAAACAGCTGAGAAAAAAACCCATGTGTAACAGTATATTGGATCCGGGCAGCTCCTAAAGTGACAGCAGTCTAATATTCCCGTTGTCTGTCATTCATGTTAATCAAACAACAAAGGAGAGAAAATCTCTCAGTGCTCTTGACTAAATCACTTTTGTAACTTCAATAAGTAGAAATCTATATTTAATTTACACAGTGAAGAATATGCAGTTTTTATACATTTGATTACTTTATACAATGTATTTAGCATTTCTTATTTATTTGTTCTATCATAGTTTTTGTCCTATTGCTTGTAATTAGTTTCTTATTCTTATTTAATCGCTGTGGCTCTTTAATGTGTCGTGACAGAATGCTAGCACCTCAGTTCAAAAAGCATGTAAACTGATCATCTCTTCCTCTTTACTAGTTAAAGCACAAAATGAACATAAGTGAACATCAGAAGGTATCATGTTTCAACCGCCGAACAACATCAATACACACCATTTTTTCAGTCCACAGACGTTAATCTACTCTCCTTCTGGTTTGTTTGTCAGACAAAATGGCAGATTCAGCATTATGATTGGTGAGATCACCTGTCAATCAAACTCCCTGCGAAGGGTCAACTGAAATTTTGAATAGCCATCAGTGAACAAAGATACTTTTGTTGCAGCTATAGCATATACCAGCATGAGCTAATGGGTCTATGCTAATCAGCCCTGCAAAATTATTCAAGGGTTCAAGTAAAAGTAAGTAACAGGATCGGACACAGGTTAAGATAGCTTCATCCTCTCCAGCAGCAAAGTAGACAGTAAATATGACTGCGGCATAGGGGGAAGGCCTGGGAGAGGGATTGCCTAGCTGGACGACTGACACGGTCTGGCATCCGTCACACCATAAACTACAAATGTTGCTTTCACAGAGCAATATATTTGATTGTGAAACCCCCTTCCACTCTTCAGAATTACAGCCACTCAGTCGGCAGGGCTGCTGCGCTGGTGCGCAGCTCGGGTCACTTAAGGAAATGCTTTGACATTGAGCTTGAAGATTAATGTCTGGAGTCATAAATAATAGATATGACATTTGACTAATGCTGTGCTGGTTAATGAAAAACTGAGGAGTAAAGCTTAACATGTAATTTGGCTCCTTTATTCATAGTTTTACCTGTCACAGGAAGTCAAATGATCCAACTTAGCCAAACAATGATTGACAGTGTGTATCTAAGTGGCATCAAATACACAGTGTTAGAATGACATATTGCTATGTACTTAAAAGGTCTCTTTGATTATACTCTTATGTTATGAAATTTTATATATTGAGAAGAGAGCTGGCAGGGGCTGGGGGGTAGATTGCTCAAATATTTTTTAGAACTGATGATTAAAAAAATGAAAATATCCTGAATAATGATCCTTTCAACACTTCATTTCGATAGTCCACTTTAGACATTCTGCTTACTATGAGTAACTTTGCAACTACATTTCAACTAACTAGATTAGGAATAGGTAAAATAATGTGACACAAAACTATTACTTCTAATAATCAAATTGTGCACTGTAGGTGAAGCTACTTTGAAATTGTTGTGACTTCATTTAAAGTACTTAATCTTTTCTGATCTAATTTAGAAAAACAGTCATACTAAAAGCTACCAACAAAAGGTAGCTCAGTACAATGAAGATACCTTTTGTTACGCCATGATATTAATAAACACCACCAATAAAAAATCTGTGAAGCAGGGTCTGTGAACTGTTTCTGCAAACTGAACATATTCATTAAAATCAGACATTTCAGCATTAGAAAGGTTTACTCTGCGTAAACATGCATGCACAAAAAAGTTAGCCTGTTACTATGTGTATAATGGATATTGACCACTCTGACTATCTAAAAAAATCTAAATATAAGTCTAATCTCTCTGTGTAAAATTTATTGAAAAGAACATCATTTTGAATTACAGTAGTCATCCACATTATGATTGAACTATCATATGTGGGCAAGATAATGTTGACTAATAATAATCTCCTCACTCGCTCACCTTCTTAAGGTAAGACAAATGCATGCATTTGCAAAATCATTGTTAAAAGAGCAAAGTTTTCCACTTTTATAGTGCTACAATGCAGGCAAAATCTTGCATGAGATGCAGAGCTATGTATCAATCTCCCGCAGCAATGCCCTCGCAATCGTCCGGCATTAAGCAGCATGGTTGGGTCAGGTTGGCAGATTTTCAGCCTTATCCTGTTGTGATGAGAGGCCCAGGCTTCCCACACAGCCACATTTCACTTCTATTTGTTGTGAGAGATATAGTGATGTGTGGCAGAGTACTGGCATGATCCACACAAAATGACGGGCCTGCATGGTAGGCGGGTGCCAGAGCTTTTGATAAGAGTGATCCCTCCTCAGGGAAAGGCAACTGAGGGGAAGTCATAAATAAGGCTTAAAGCTCTAAAGCATGTCTGCATTCCAGCTGAGTGTCTGGGCAAACACCAGTAATTTTCCGCAGCATGAGAAAGTGGCCGTGCGCCCGTCCTTAAGCATGACACTAGCTGTCTTGGACAGCTCATCCAGATGGTAGGACATTCTACTGATGAGTGTTTAGAATAAAACATCAAAGCAATTTAGTCTCAAAATATGTGACAAATAATAAAGTGAATGTTACAGTTTTATTCCTATTTAGCCATTATTGATGAATTTCGAGAATCTAATTTGTCTATCCGATTATTTATGTATGAATTTCCAATCCATTTGAAAAAGCAGTTCATTTAGCACACAAATCTTAGAGCCCACACCACAAAACATGAGGTGGGACAATTGTAGCATCAAGCACAAGCGTTTGCAGGTACAGGTAAAATAGTACGCTCTAAAAAATGCTGGGTTAAATACAACCCAGTGCTGGGTAAAATAGGGACAAACCCAGCAATTGGGCTGTTTTGACCAAGCAGTTGGGTTAAATGTTTAAATTAACCCAACCTTCTGGGTAGTAACCCAACCGCTGGGTCACAACAACCCAATTGCTGGGTTTGTCCCTATTTTACCCAGCACTGGGTTGTATTTAACCCAGCATTAGCAGTATAACAAGCAGTAACACTAGCTACCCAGCTAACAGGGAACATTCACTTTTTTCATGTTTTATTTGTATTTTTTTATTTTTTTCACAAATTATATAAATGTTAGGACAAAACATTCTTAAAGTAATGTTTATAGAACTTTCTCATAACTTAATATTTGATATAGGTTCTCATAACATTGAAAGAAAACGTTCTTAGAACAACATTCTCAGAACGTCCTTATGATGTTATTTGTATTTGACGAATACTCTAAGAAACATTTTTAGAAGGGCAAAAAAATAAAAAAAATTGACAATTTAAGGTTCTTAAAATATAAAAATAAATGGTCAAATAATGTTATATTTTGGGTGAAAAAGTTAGTAAAATGCTCTAAGAAATGTTTTTGTAACCTTTAAATAATGTTATAATCACAACAAGAAAGCTAAACATTTAAACATTTTAGAAGCATTTCAAAACAATTTTTCGAACAATAACCTAAATTTGTTACCAGGGTAGCAGGTTGTTAGCTATTTTATGCTCTGTAAATATCTGACTTGTCACAGTAAAGCCAACATACAGTACACTGTTAAAAAAAAAAGTAATAATAGGGCACAATGTACTGTATTAAAATGATGGAATTTTTACTTTCTCAGTACTGTACATTGTGAGTGTAGGCTCACTGGAAAAACATGAACTCCAAAAACACACAACTTCAACTGATCACTAGTGGTAGTGAAACACCAACAATTTTATCCCTGCTCAAACAAATTATGATGAAAGGGGCAGATTATAAAATAATAAAGGCCTTTTTAGCGGTTTCTTGCACAATGGTATGACCTCAAAACACTTTTACCATATAGTGCATGATTTCTTTGTGCTGATACTGTACATTTTGATGTTTGGTCACATAATCAAATCTACATCTATGGCTTTTCTGACATAGTAAAATTGTTTGATAGCTCCCCTGGTAAAGCACTGCACTTGTGATGCAGCACTCTTGGGTACGAGTCATGATTAAAAAAAAGTACCAAGACTTCTTTAACTGAAACAACAATATTGGATACTTTATGGAATATATTACATTGCTTTGTGGAGGGGGACAAGAAATGCTTCAAATGTTAAGTTTCCGATTTGACGTGAATTCAACAAAGTTGGATACTTTATGGACTATTTTATACAGCTTTATGTAGTAGAGGGGAAATAGATATTAACACATGCTACAAACGGTATGTTTACCATTATAACAATACCAATATAACACATGCTTCAAACGGTATGTTTACCATTTGAGATGAATGCATACACTTTTTTTTTTACTTTCGGAACTCAACTCTAGTGAAAAAAAAGTTGTGTACTTGTTACTTATTATTATTATTAATTTATTTGCTTATTTAATCAAATAATACAATTTTTACAAATTATTATATTAATCAACATTGCAACTTTCATGATCACATTTGAGAATATGACACATTAAACAATCGTTTTGGTTCTGAGCACAGTGTCAGTTGTAGTTCCATTAGAACACAGTTCAGTAAGATTAGCATTTGGTGCTTGGCGAGTGTTATTTTTAGACCCTGCTTAAAGAACGAAGTTCCGTCGGTGCTGATAGCCTCGTGGGCAGCACGTCGACATACAACTCTGTTGTGTTTCAGGTGTCCTGAATTCGAGTTCCGGGTCATGGACATTTCCCGATCCCATCCCCCTCTCACTCTTCCAGTGCGCTTCCTGTCCTCTCTACACTGTCCCATCAATTGCAAAAACTGCAAAAATAAAATCTAAATAAAAAAAACAAGTTCGTTGTGGACTTGCACCCAAAACAAAACACACCTTTTTAACAGAGAATGCACTGAGCTGACTGATAAAATGAGAGAATAGGGATTTACCTGGCAATGTACTGTCCTGATGAGGGCAGCTCATGTTTGTTGGGTTTGTCAAAACAGTTTACCATATTTTGGATGAGAGCTAGATCAGGCCGTACAACTGTGGCCGCAGTAACAGCTCGGTTGACCAACTGCAGGGCATCACGGATGTAGTAGTCCAGCGGTTTGTGGTCGACCTCTCCGTAGGCCAACAGTCCTAAAGGTAGACCAATAGAATGAAGGGCGTCTGGGCTTAGGGGATGTCCCATAATCCAATGTACTGTGGGCAATGTCAGCCCCAGGTCATGCGCACTGCGCAGAACGGAAGAGGCACACTCCGGGTCGGCCCCGAAAAGCAGGACCGAGGCGGGTGGAGAAAGGTCCTGATTAAAGTGCTCAGACAGGAAGTCAGAAATATTAGCCATGTGAGGTGTGCTGTGGGAGAGGTTCAGAGCGGCCCGCAGGTGCCAGTGTGAGGGTCCCCAGCCGGAGTTTGTGAGTTTCAGGAGATCCAGAAGACCAGCGTCCTCCCAGCCTTGGCAAAGCACCGCCATGCTCTCCTCCCAGCCACTGCGCTGCAGGACGGCTAGAAGCAGCTCCACCAGTCCCGACGGGGGAATACGGGTTGTCATCTGCAAGTGGAAGCGATTCTAAAGATAAAGGAGGCAACAGAAAGATTATCAGACTTTGTGGTCACAATGTGACTTATATATCTCACAATTGCAACGTTAGAGCTCACAACTCATAACTGCATCTTTATTGATCTATTGCTACTCTTTATCTTTATTTCTCATAGTTGTAACTTTAGGTCTTACAATTGTGTCTTTTATCCAGATTTCTCGCCATGGCATCTTTATTACTTGTAATTGCGACCTTATATCTCATATTAGGGGCTTTTTATCTTTATTTCACATAATTGCAGCTTAATTTCCCATAATTGTGACTTTAGTTCTCACAATTGCTACTCTTTATCTTTATTTCTCATAGTTGTGACTTTAGGTCTTACAATTGTGTCTTTTATCCGAATTTCTCGTAATGGCACCTTTATTACTTGTAATTGCGACCTTAGAATTCATATTAGTGACTTTTTATCTTTATTTCACATAATTGCAACTTAATTTCCCATAATTGTGACTTTAGTTCTCACAATTGTTACTTTTTATCTTTATTTCTCATAATTGTGAATTTAGGTCTTACACTTGTGACTTTATTCAAATTTCTCATAATGGCATCTTTATTACTTGTAATTGCGACCATATTTCATATTAGTGACTTTTTTATATCTTTATTTCACATAATTGCAGCTTTATTTCTTGTAATTGTGATTTTAATTCTCACAATTGTTACTCTTAATTTTTATTTCACATAATTGCAGCTTAATTTCCCATAATTGTGACTTTAGTTCTCACAATTGTTACTTGTTATCTTTATTTCTCATAATTGTGACTTTAGGTCTTACAATTGTGACTTTTTATCTGAATTTCTCATAAGTTAATCTATATTACTCGCAACTGCAACCTTAGATCGCACATTTGTGAGTTTTTATCTTTATTTTTCATTGTTGTGTCGTAATTATGACTTTAGATATCACAAGTGTGACTTTTTATCTTTTTTTCCTCAAAAAAATGCAACATAATTTCTCTTCATTTTGACATTAGATATCACAATTGTAATTTTTTTAATCTTTATTTCTCATAATTGAGAAAGAAAGACTCTCACAACCTAATTTCTTGTAGTTGTGACTTCTTATTTTGCAATTATGACTTTACTTTGCTCAATTGTGACTTTACAGCTGCCAAATGTGACTTTGTAGCTCAAATAGTATAAATACATTTAAATGTGTAAGAATACACCAGAGCTTAGAAAGAGCAACCATGGAGCAATTAAATTTTCTTCTGGGTATCCAAAGTCCAAAGTTATTCATTAAATGGCAATTTACCCTGAGAATTTAAGTCCCCCTTAAGGTCAAAAACAGAATAAGTGCTTTGCTTCCTTTATCAGAGTCCACATCCTTTCAGCTTCACTCTTCCTTAAGTTCCCTCCTTCCTCGTCAGTATGCCACTCACATGAAATAACGGCACATTTCCCGCCATCTTATATTCTTGGCCACAGTTCTGCATGTCCTTCCACAATATTGCTAGTTGTGCTATTGATTTTGTACCGTAAAACCAAAGGCCGTAATAAATTTCCTCTCTCTAGCATGGTCTTGACAGACAGTGCTACACCAGCAGTTTTAAAGCCATGCAGAAAAAACGGCCCATAACTCTTCAGCGACTACTTATGTACCGTTAAACACAGATCATTGCACACTCTCAGGATGTGTATCTCAGGATTGACTCATCTCAGAATCGACAGTCTGATTCAAAAGGCCAACGTTTATTCCTTGACCCGTCTGACGCGTTAATGCAGCGGCCCTCCAGAGTCCAGACCGCAGTGACAGGAGATACAGACTGCTATTCTGAGTTTGTGAGTCACAAAAAAACCTCTTTCCAGGTTTCTCAATACAACCGGAGAAAATCAAGGGTCTGATTTCAATTGATGATGCAATGCATTTCAACAAGGTTTATTGAACCAAAGATCAGATCCAAGGCCGAGAAGACCTCCATGAAGAGTTCAGATGGTATATTGGGAATACTGTGAGATGAAGACATGCACAGAAAATGAAGATGCAATAGAGCACTTTGGGAAAAAAGAGTTGGGTAAGATGTGCCATTGGGAAATCTATGGTGGCCCATAGTGTTTTATTAAAATAAAGTGTTTTATTATGCCAATTACACAGAGGAATTATATAATCATGGTACACTGATTTAATGAAACTACCCACAACCCTCACATGTACCGATTTAGTGCATATGAAGTACATGTACAATTGCTTTATTATTGAAGCACAGAAACCAAAGCACCTGTCTCTGGATGATGAGGATAAATCGCTCTAGTGTCTAATGCAGTCTCTGCACATGCAGCTGAACTGATGGGACCCAAATCAACTCACTTCAAGTCCCTGCAGCTGTTGTGTTTAGTCACTTGGGGTTCATCAGCATTATCATCATCAGAAACACACACATATTACAGCATCCAGCGCGGTATGCATATGCATGCAGAAGAGTTGCAGTACAGTTGTTTCATGTTTTGCTGTTTTTGCAGCAATTGTTTGCTGATAATTAAATAGGTTGATCCAAAGTTTTTTTTTTTTGACGGTTAGCCCATGTTAGAAAATTCTGTCATCATTTACTCACCCTTAAGTTGTTCCAAATCGAATGTGTAACCAAACAGTTTCTGGTGCCCTTTGACTTTCAAAGTATTTTTTTTTCCATAATATGTAAATGAATGGGGTACAGCAACTGTTGCTGTGTAAAATGGACTTCCCAATAGATATGCTAAAGCTCCAGATAGCAAGTGTTTGATTTGTAATGTTGCAGAGTATGTTTTATAATACTATCCATTCTGATTATGTTGTGTTTTAAGATGATAATTTCTAAATTGAAATAAAACAGAAAAAGAATGCGCTTGTGTTATTTGCCTTTTCTAGTTTAGCAAATAAAAAAACGACTTAATTTAACAAGTTAGTGGAGTAATTGGACAGAAACTGATTATAATGATTTCAAATGAACTTAAATCAACTTGGAATTTAGTGCATTGAACTGTAAAAATATAGTAAGTGTATTAGTGTTGTTGTCAGTATTCTATTGACTGTCATTGGATTATAACATTCTTCAAAGTATCTTCTTTTCTGTTCCATAGAAGAAAAAGACATAATAGGTCACATTTATAGCTTACAGACTGATTGTCAATTAAAGGGACAGTTCACCAAAAATGAAAATGTTGTCATCATTTTCTCACCTGTATGAATGTCTTTCTTCCATTGAACACAAAAGGAGATTTGCATAGTATTTCCTATACTATGGAAGTCAGTGGCTACCAACAACTGTTTGGTTGCCAACACTGAACCATGGAGCAATTAAATTTTCTTCTGGGTATCCAAAGTCCAAAGTTATTCATTAAATGGCAATTTACCCTGAGAATTTAAGTCCCCCTTAAGGTCAAAAACAGAATAAGTGCTTTGCTTCCTTTATCAGAGTCCACATCCTTTCAGCTTCACTCTTCCTTAAGTTCCCTCCTTCCTCGTCAGTATGCCACTCACATGAAATAACGGCACATTTCCCGCCATCTTATATTCTTGGCCACAGTTCTGCATGTCCTTCCACAATATTGCTAGTTGTGCTATTGATTTTGTACCGTAAAACCAAAGGCCGTAATAAATTTCCTCTCTCTAGCATGGTCTTGACAGACAGTGCTACACCAGCAGTTTTAAAGCCATGCAGAAAAAACGGCCCATAACTCTTCAGCGACTACTTATGTACCGTTAAACACAGATCATTGCACACTCTCAGGATGTGTATCTCAGGATTGACTCATCTCAGAATCGACAGTCTGATTCAAAAGGCCAACGTTTATTCCTTGACCCGTCTGACGCGTTAATGCAGCGGCCCTCCAGAGTCCAGACCGCAGTGACAGGAGATACAGACTGCTATTCTGAGTTTGTGAGTCACAAAAAAACCTCTTTCCAGGTTTCTCAATACAACCGGAGAAAATCAAGGGTCTGATTTCAATTGATGATGCAATGCATTTCAACAAGGTTTATTGAACCAAAGATCAGATCCAAGGCCGAGAAGACCTCCATGAAGAGTTCAGATGGTATATTGGGAATACTGTGAGATGAAGACATGCACAGAAAATGAAGATGCAATAGAGCACTTTGGGAAAAAAGAGTTGGGTAAGATGTGCCATTGGGAAATCTATGGTGGCCCATAGTGTTTTATTAAAATAAAGTGTTTTATTATGCCAATTACACAGAGGAATTATATAATCATGGTACACTGATTTAATGAAACTACCCACAACCCTCACATGTACCGATTTAGTGCATATGAAGTACATGTACAATTGCTTTATTATTGAAGCACAGAAACCAAAGCACCTGTCTCTGGATGATGAGGATAAATCGCTCTAGTGTCTAATGCAGTCTCTGCACATGCAGCTGAACTGATGGGACCCAAATCAACTCACTTCAAGTCCCTGCAGCTGTTGTGTTTAGTCACTTGGGGTTCATCAGCATTATCATCATCATATTACAGCATCCAGTGCGGTATGCATATGCATGCAGAAGAGTTGCAGTACAGTTGTTTCATGTTTTGCTGTTTTTGCAGCAATTGTTTGCTGATAATTAAATAGGTTGATCCAAAGTTTTTTTTTTTTGACGGTTAGCCCATGTTAGAAAATTCTGTCATCATTTACTCACCCTTAAGTTGTTCCAAATCGAATGTGTAACCAAACAGTTTCTGGTGCCCTTTGACTTTCAAAGTATTTTTTTTCCCATAATATGTAAATGAATGGGGTACAGCAACTGTTGCTGTGTAAAATGGACTTCCCAATAGATATGCTAAAGCTCCAGATAGCAAGTGTTTGATTTGTAATGTTGCAGAGTATGTTTTATAATACTATCCATTCTGATTATGTTGTGTTTTAAGATGATAATTTCTAAATTGAAATAAAACAGAAAAAGAATGCGCTTGTGTTATTTGCCTTTTCTAGTTTAGCAAATAAAAAAACGACTTAATTTAACAAGTTAGTGGAGTAATTGGACAGAAAC